AAGACTCGCGTTTGTGGGCGGGAGGCTCAGGCTTTGGCCGCTCATCCTGCCACAGCAGCAGCAGCAGCAGCAGCAGCGGCAGCAGCAGCAGCAGCAGCAGCAGCAGCGGCAGCAGCAGCAGCAGCAGCGGCAGCAGCAGCAGCAGCAGCGGCAGCAGCGGCGGCAGCAGCACGAAGGACGGCAGATGAAGTGCTGGGGGGTCGTTATATGGTGACCGCTGCGACACAGGGGATGCAGACACTGCTGCTGCTGCTGCTGCTGCTGCTGCTTGCTATTGCTGCTGCTGCTCAGCCGCCGCTGCAGCAAGTATACTGCAGCAGCAAATGTGCTGCAGCAATGAGTCGCAAAGATTAAAACCAAGACAGAAAAGAGAGGCTCACTTGGTTTGGGGTATACGTACACTGAAAATAGGTCGGCGCCTGCGGGCTCGATCAAAGCAACAGCAGCAGCAGCAGCAGGGGCAGACACACAGGCTCTTCGCTTCCCTATAATCAAACCCGTAAGAAAATTGCAAAAAATTAATTTTAGGATTTGTCGTAATAATGTGCAGCAGCAGCAACAGGAGCTGCCTGAACACCAGCAGCAGCAGCAGCAGCAGCAACACACCTCGGGCCCCTGGGCTTGCATGCGCTGCAGACCGTCACTAGCTTTGCTGCGCAAGCGTGAGCAGCGGCAGCAGCAGCTCTAGCAGCAGCTCTAACAGCAGCAGCAGCAAAGAACTGTCTCATCTTACTGCAGCAGCAGCAGCAACTTAGCTTCTTTTGAGGTCCTCCCTGCGCCTTCTCCCCTAACAAGCAGCAGCAGCGCGGGGGGCCCTATTGCTACTGCTGCAGTTGCTGCAGCAGACTTTAATTCAGGCATTTTAGCAGCCAGCAGCAACTGCAGCAGCAGCAGCAGTCATTTTTGTACCCAGAAGCAGCAGCTGCGTCGGGCCGTGTGCGCGGCCGACCCTGTAGCTCTTCTCCCACGAGCAGCAGGAACAGCAGCAGCAGCAGCAACAGCAGCAGCAGCAGCAACAGTGGCAGTAGCAGCAGCTGGCCGGTGTTGCCTGTTCTTTTTGAGGGCGCCGCTGCTGCCGTGGGGTGTACATACACCTGGTCACCTGCTGTAGCGTCGGCTTGAACTTCTCTGCTGCAGCAGCAGCAGCAGCAGCAGCAGCCACCCAAGCAGCAACAGACATAACAGCAGCAGTAGCCGCGACAGCAGCAGCATCCCCGACAGCAGCAGCAGCAGCAGCAGGAGCTCCAACGGCGCCCGCCGCAGCAGCTCCATCAGCAGCAGCAGCAGCTCCATCAGCAGCAGCAGCAGCCCCAGCAGCAGCAGCAGCAGCAGCAGCAGAAGATGGAGCTAGCTCTGTTTAATGTGCACGATGGCTATTTGGAGGGAATTGTGAGGGGCCTGAGGGGATCTTTTTTGACTCGCGAAGATTACAAAAGGCTGGCCAATGCAGACACTCTGGAAGGTGAGGGTTTAGGGTTTAGGGTTTGGGGTTTAGGGTTTAGGGTTTGGGGGGCTAGGGGTCGGCTTTTACGGCCTCTTTTGGTGCGTCTAGGGCTTGGGTTTTAGGGTTAGGTTTTAGGGTTTAGGGTTTAGGGTTTAGGGCTCGGGTGTCCCGCTTAGGGTTTATGGCACAGTTTTCGGGACCCACAGTGTAGGGTTTAGGGTGTGAAGCTTATTAGGGTTTAGGGTTTAGGGTTTAGGAAGATAAAGCGTGCCTTAAAAGCTCAAAAGAAGACAGAAAGAAGCAAAAGAAGAAAAAGGGTTTTAAAAGAATTCAAAAGAAATTCAAAGGACAAAAAGAGACAAAATGAAACCCCTAGAGTGTCTTCAAACTCCTGCTGCTGCTGCTGCTGCTGCTGCTGCAGCTGCAGCAGCAGCGGGGTGTGCTTGTGCCCGTTTTCCGTGGCGTAAAGTGCTGTAAGTGCAGAAAAAGTGGGAGAAGGTGAATTTATGAGTTAAAATTAAACATTTAATTTATTTATTTATTTATTTATTTATTTATTTATTTATTTATTTATTTATTTATTTCAGATTTGAGAAGTGCCCTCGAAGAAACTGACTACGGCTTCTTCATGCAAGACGAGCCGCTGCCCCTCGCAGTGCCCACAATAGCGCAGCGGGCCCGCAGCAAGCTAACTGCAGAGTTCAAGTAAACCCTAAACCCTAAACCCTAAACCCTAAACCGTAAACCCTAAACCCTAGCACAACCCTGGGCACAAGCCCTCGCCCTGACTCCAAACCCTGGCGGCTCAGCTCTAGCCGCAAGACGCGAAGACCCGCGAAAGCAGACATCTGAAACGCGCAGATAGGGTTTAGGGTTTAGGGTTTAGGGTTAAGGGTTTAGGGTTTAGGGTTTAGGGTCAGGGCTTAGCGTTAGGATTAGGGTATGGGGTGCATGCGAGAGGCGCAGACCCTACCTTTCAGCACCATCTCCCTTCCACGCTGCTGCTGTTGCTGCGGTTGTTGTTGCTGCTGCTGCTGCTGCTGCTGCTGCTGTGTCTCCAGGTACCTGCAGTCTCAGGCCTACCAGCCCCTAGCAAAGTTCCTGGACTTCATCGCGTGAGCCCTGCTGCTGCTGCTGCACCTGCTGCTGCTGCACCTGCTGCTGTTGCTGGTGCTGCTGCTGTTGCTGCTGTTGCTGTTGCAGCAGCAGCAAGGGCATTTCTTCACCTCCAGTTCCCCGCATTTCCCCTTTGTCGATTTCTCTTCAAATTTTTTCAAATTTTGATTCAAAATTTTTCAAAATTTAAAATTTTTTAATTTTTTGAATTTTTTGTCGAATTTGAATTCTTTTTTTTTGCTTTTTGGGCCCTTTTGAAGGAATTAAAAGACCCAAATCAAACAACTTGCTGGTTTGCTGCAGCGCGGAGAAAATGCTGGACAACATGTTGGGTTTGCTGCAGGGCCGCGTGGCCCGCAAGCCCGCGGGGGCCCTCTTAGCAGCAGCAGACCCTTTGGGGGCCTTCGAAGGCATGGGGGCCCTCGCGAGGCTGGACCCTTCAGTCTCTCCTGAGGGCCTCTTCAGAAGTCTTTTATTGGAAACTCCAGTGGCGAAGTATTTCGAAAAAGTGCTTTCTCAGGGTCCGGGGGGCCCCCACGCCCAGCACTTGGAGCGCATTCTCACCAGTGCTGACATAGGTCTCTCCGGGGCTTTTGGGGGGTTTTAGGGGCCCCAAGGGGCCCCTTTTTGCAGCTTTTTGGGGCCCTTTTAAGTCCCTTTGTGCTCCACTTTGGCTGCCTTTTTTTGCTGCTTTTAAAGAGCTTTTTTCCTCTATTTTTGGGACACTTTGCGCCTTTTGAGGGACTTTTTGGAGACGTTTTGGGCCCCCTTTTGTGTCTTTTTTTCCTCTTTTTCTTCTCTTTTTTGTTTCCTTTTTGTCTCCTTTTTCGCCGCATTTTTATTCCTTTTTTTGTCTCTCTGAGGGCCTTTTTGGGGACATTTTTATCTTTTTTTGTCTCTTTTTTGTTTCTTTTTTGTTTCTTCTTTATCTCCATTGTGTCTCCTCTTCTGTCTGTTTCTATCTCTCCTTTTGTCTCCTCTTCTTCTCCATTTCTGTCGTTTTTGTGCTTTTTTGTTTTCACTTTGACTTTTTTGTTTTCTTTTTTGTTTGTTTTTGTTTTCTTTTTTGTCTTTTCTCCTTGACCTTGATCTCTTTTTTTTCCGTTTGAACTCCGACTTGAAAGTGTCTTATCCGTGCTGTCTCTTTGGTTCATTTCAATGCATTTTATTTCATTTTATTTCGTTTTATTTCATTTTGTTTCATTTATTTTCACTTTTAATTTTTTTCTTTTCAGATTTGCTGCGAAACTCCCTCAAAAAAGAATGGCTCGAGGACTTCTACGCGTTTGTCCAGACACTCGAGGACTCGACCACGAAGGAGGTCATGGGGCACATTTTGAAGGTCTTTCATTTATTATTTTAATTCTTTTTTGATTCTTTTTTTAATTCTTTTTAATTCTTTTTCTTTTTTGCTTCTTTTTTAATTCGCCTTCTGCTGCTGTTTGTCTCGTCTTTTTTCTCTTTTTTTTGGTCTTTTTTTCGTTTTTTTGTTTCATTTTTTAGTTTTTGGTTTTTGACTTTTTCTCTTTTCTTTCTTCTTTTATATTTCTCCTTTTTGTCTCCTTTTGTCGTTTTAAATCTCCTTGTTATTCTTTTCTTTTTCTGTCTTTTTTAATTTCCTTTTCCTCTTTCTTGTTTCATTTTTCTCTTTTTGTTCCCATTTGTGTCTTCTTTGCTTATCGTTTTTTATTGCTCTCTTTTGTCTGCTCCTAGGGTTTAGGGTTTAGGGTTTAGGGTTTAGGGTTTGGGGTTTTGCAGACGGAAGCAGATTTTCGAGTTTTGTCTCTGGCTATAAACTCCCTCAGCACCGGTCAGCAGCAGCAGCAGCAGCAGCAGCAGCAGCAGCAGCTGGATAGGCACGCGCTCTTCCCCAACTTTGGCTATCTCTATCCTGATGGTCCGCTGCCTGCTGCTGCTGCTGCTGCTGCTGCTGCTGTTGCCGCCACTGCTTTGCATGCTGCTGGTGCGGGTTCTGCTGTTACTATCCTTGCTTTTGGCTTTCGAGCTTGCTGCTGCTGCTGGTTTTTTCGCTGCTGCTCGTGCTGCTGCTGCTGCCGCTGCTGCTGTTGTTGGTATTCCAGCTGCTGCTGTTGCTGCTGCTGCTGCTGCTGCTGCATCTTGTTGCATTTCTTGTTTTGCTGCTCCACAGGAACGGACAGGATCCGAAAAGCTTGGAATGACCCCACACTTAGGGCCGCCTTGGAGCCCTATCCCGTAGGTATCAGCAGCAGCAGCAGCAACAGCAGCAACAGCAACAGCAGCAGCAGCAGGTGTTGCAGCAACAGCAGCAGGAGCAGGCCATACTTTGGATATGTTGCGTTTGCTGCTGCAGTCCTATTTGAATGTCTACGACCAGTGCCGCGCCTTCTACATCGGAGATGTAAGCGGACTGCTGCTGCTGCTGCTGCAGCAGCAGCAGCAGTAGACAACTGCTGTTGAGGTGCTGCGGCTGTGAAATCCCCGTGCTGCTTTGTCTTCCCAAAGGTGCTGCTGCTGTTGCTGCCGCGGCAGCAACAGCCAGCCGCACTTGCGCGTGCAGCGGCAGCAGCCGAAGCAGCAGCAGCAACAGAAGCAGCAGCAAAACCAGCAGAAGCAGCAGCAAAAGCAGCAGCATTTGTGGGGTGCCTGCAGGAACGAGACAAGGCAGACTTGACTTCGCGCTTCAAAACTTTGGAGGATTTGCTGTACAGAGAAATGGTCCAAATGTGCGAACTTACTTTCGAGCAGCAGTTCCACTACGGTCAGCCCCTGCTGCTGCTGCTGCTGCTGCTGCTGCCGTTGCTGTTGCTGCAGCTGCTTCTTTTGTTGCTTCTGTGTACTCGTCGCTGCTGATGCTGATGTTATCTCCCCCGCTGTCTGGGCGTCTGAGGAGCCCCAGCTGGCGTCGTGCTGCTGCTGCTGCTGCTGTGGCATGTTCCTGCTGCTGCTGCATGTTGCTGGTGTCAATGTTGCTTCTGCTGCTGCTGCTTCAGGGGTCTTCTACGCGTGGGTTAAGCTGAAGGAGCAGGAGATAAGAAACATCGTCTGGATAGCCGAGATGGTAATTAGCAGCAGCAGTAGCAGGAGCAGCAGCAGCGGCAGCAGCAGCAGCAGCAGCAGCAGCAATTTTATTACGTGATGTCTTCGGGTGTTCGTTTGCTGCTGCAGATATTGATGAAGCGCAAAGAACACATTGATGCAATTGTTCCTCTGTTCGAGCCAAGGATTTGAAGCAGTAGCATCAGCAGCAGCTGCAGCAGCAGCAGCAGAAGCAGAAGCAGCAGCAGCACAATAGAACAGCATTAGCAGCAGACTTACTTGGTAACCTGCTGCAGGCAGACGACTCAGCAGTGTGAAAGCACTGCTGCAGGTGTTGCTGCAGCAGCAGCAGCAGCAGCAGCTGCTGCTGCTGCTGCTTTGTAGAAGCAGCAAAAGCAGCAGCAGCTCTAAGTGGTGAGCAGCAGCTGTTAATGACAAGTTTCAACTGCGGTCTGGGATCGTCTTCTCCCAATCGATCCCACGTCGAGACTGCCTCTAAATGTTTGCTTCCTAACAAGGAGCTGCCCAGCTAGCTAGCTAGCTAGCCAGCTAGCTAGCACAACGGGTTAACTAGCTAGCTAGTTAGCTAGCTAGCTAGCTAGCTACCTAACACAGCGGGCTAGCTAGCTCTTTGTGCAGCTGGGTATTTTGTATACCTACTTAGCAGGATAGCCACGAAGGCACAGGCAGCTCGCTGGCTGGCTAGCTGGCTAGCTAGCTAGCCAGCTAGCCAGC